TAGGCGTTATATGATATGAACATCCAGAATCGAGAATCCAAGCATCATCATACTGCATAGTCGAAATAGATAACATATCTCCATCACTGCAAACGGATTCCTCATTTGTACCACATTCGCAGACTTGGATGACATATCAGCAGTCTATTTCTTCCACTTTGGGCAATCCCGTTTGAAGTACCCTTGTTCCTTGCACTTATAACACGTCACAGTTTTCCTCCCTTTCTATTTGTCTCGCGACTTGGATCTGAAATTCCGATTTCCTGAATTATCCCGTACCTGTTTTCTTCCACGATCCTGGTTACCCTTCACATATAAACTGTCACTTTGAGAAGATGACTCTCCAAATTTCTGTTTCCACTGGTTGTGAGCCAACAACGCTGAAGTAATCACCTCAGTCTTGATCGTTTCTTTCCCATATGTAAGGGTAGTCACCATATGTTCGTAAGAAGGAGGTAACGAACACAGTAAAATCATCGCCTTGTCTTATTCTTCAATCTTGACTTCGAGTGAAGCCAAATCCGTGACAACTTGATTGAAGATATTCACATGTTTCCCTAAATCTGTCCCCTCCTGCATCTTCAGCCCGTATAACCTCTGCTTCAGATATAGTTTTGTCGTTAGGGTTTTCGACATAAACTACGATTCCAGTTTCTTCCAGATCTCATCCGCCGATTTGAGATGCATAACTTGATACATAACTTCATCTGCAAGGCACAACCGAATCGTCCCGGCCGCCCGTTCCTGCAGCTCTTACCAATCATCGTCTTCCATCCCCTTTGGCTTTTCTGCGCGCAGCCCTTTCTGAATTCCGTGTTGCGCCAATAAATCTTTTACTCTCGTCTGCCATAATCCGAAATTGCCATGACCATCAAATTTCGAGACCTCGAATTTCGATCCTCTCGTCATCTCCGTCGCCCAATCAACCAGGCTCCGATACCAGTTGTTGAGTAAAGATGACAATATGGCATACGAATTAAAAAAAACGAGAAAAGTAAACAACACAAGATTTACGTGGTTCGGCAATATGCCTACGTCCACGGCGGCTGAGGGATCTTTATTATTCTCAATAGTCTCAAATACATCAATACACCATGTATTTATTATTCTCGCTCCACTCCGCTCACTTCGCTCGGTCGCTCCGCTTCCCTCGCTACGTTCGCTCCGTTACGCTCGCAGGCATCAGCCTGCCCCCTTCCTTTGTCAATATATGAGCCATACCAACAAGATTTTTGTAGTCGATCCTACTTTTTGGTGCATCTGCCTTATTGTAATGCTGATATTTTCGCCGGGACTCTCCCCGGATCACGATCTGTTACTTTTGTGTTTCTTGCTGTTGTTGTCAGCTTTTCCTTGTATCTTTTTTTGCTTTTGTCTTTTGATTTTTCGTTTGACTTGATGTATATCATATATTTGACTTGTAGTCTTGTGACTTTTCAGCTCATTTATAATTTTTATAATATACAAGTTGAGGGTTCGTTCTTTATCTCACCCTTATGGAGCGTTAGTTTGTTTAAAAAAAAAAAAAAGGCAAAAATCCATCATATTATACAATAAATTGGAGACATACTCGCGCTTCATCGTCTTTTAGATCTTTAATATTTTGAAGCTATATTATGTTCATTGCAAGGAAGTGCACCCATCTTTAGGCTAATTGATTATCAATCACCACATATTGCATTGTATCACAACAAAAAGAAAAATAATAATATATGAAAAGATAAAAACTTACAATATTTAATTCCTTAATTGTTATATACATTTTGGAAGTTGACAGACTTTATGATATACTTTGAGTGTCCTCGTCCTGTATGCTTTTTTGTTTTTTGTTACAACATTTTGTGCATGCTAAATGATCAACAAGTGGCCAATAAATAAAAAATTATGTAAAGTTATTCTATTTTCTCATAATAATAATGGCTAAATTAAATGGCAGGTGCAATTGCAAATAGAATAAATTCGTCCCACATCTGATGACTCATGGTGGGGTATATTATATATGGTCAAGGATCTGATTCTTATTTGTTGAAAATAAATGAGTTGAAAAATATTCAACGTTAATTGGTCCGTTTTGAGCTATTGTGGTCAAAATGAATTAATGTATCGTTATGAACTCATGTTTTCTGTATATAAATCTTTATTTCTTATTCTATTTGTAGTTGAAGACCACAATTACAAATATATATAATAGTGGATTAAATTGCTTTTTTTTTTTTTTTTCTTAAGTACTTTCATTCTATATAGTGGTGGGTCCAGGAAACCTGTTAAAATGAATACATTGAGACCCAATTTTATTCATTCATTTTGTCCAAATAAATGACTCACATTTTTTTTTTTTTTACAGGTACCTTCCGGTTTCCGGATCCACATGGGAACCGACTAATAAATGACTCCTATTAAGCAACTAGTATTTGATCCTGTGCATTTGCAGAGATATAAAACACGTTTTTGTTTGTATTTATTAATTAGACATGTATTTCTATCATATAAAAATTATTATTTTTTCTTAAGTTATTTTTTATCATTTAAAATTAAGTGAGATTTAAATTTTATTTTAACCATGCAACATTTACATTAGTAGCACGAATTAAAATAATTTATATATTTGTGGCATATATTAAGAAAATTATCATAA